GGCCCACGGCTCCACAGGGGGGAGCCTTGTAGCGACACTCAAAGCCAGCCTACGCCATGAACGACGACAAGGAGGTCGAGCTGCCTCTGCAGCGCGAGCAATTAAAGCAGTTCGAATCCAAACGCTGTCCGAGCTGGTTCGTTTCCTCCCAGCTCCCAAGAAGTTAATTTTAAGTATAAAAAGGGTCACACTCAAAACGCCTCCCTGAGGAACGCCATTTTCCTAGCAGAACTCTCTAGAGTAAGTAGTGCCCAATTTAACACGGAAGGTACGCATCCCCAGATAGCTCTTGACGAATGCTAGCATTCTACCACGAATGCCAAAACTATACAGGTCTTGCAGGATGCCATGACGCCATGCCGTGTCGTACGCCTTTTCCAAGTCAAAGAAAACAAACAGGCAGTACTGCTTATTTACAAAGGCCTCACGAATAGTAGTCTCCAGACGAACTAAATGGTCTATTGTAGACCGTGACGAACGAAACCCACACTGGTATTTGTCAAGGATATTTTCTTTTTCCAAAACATACATGAGTCATTTGTTAAGCACTCTCTCCAGAGTCTTACTAAGACAGCTTGTTAGCGCTATTCGGCGATAACTGGTCGCGCACGACGCACCTTTTCCAGGCTTCAGCAAATGGATAACAGTGGCCACTCTCCATAAGGATGGAAATGTGCTCTCTTGCCAAATGCGATTAAAAAAAACAGGACTATGTCAAGTCTGGAGGGGTGGAGATGTGTAAGCATGTAATAATGAATTACTTTTGGTCCGGCAGCCGTAAATTTGACTTCATGCAGCACCCGTTCCAGCTCACTCAGCGTAAGGCGCGAGTCGCAAGCTTCTCGAGCACCACCGGATGTTCGAACAGACTGCAACTGTGCTTGAGTCTTGTGTTTCAGAAAAGCAGCTGAAGAATGCTCGGAACTAGAAACACGTTAAAGTGTTCCCCAATGAGATCTGCCTGCTGTTCAAGGCTCTGGGGGCACAGTCCATTTGCAGAAAGAAGCGGTACTGAGAAAGCACGGTAGTTCCCATTAACTTTAAGAATTTTATCCCACACTTCTTTGCTAGAGGCAGTGCTGTTAATCGAGGATGCATATCCTTGGAAGCTTTGACGTTTAGAAGGGCGACGTATGCATCTCGCACAAACCTTCATTGGTTTACATTTGATCAGGTTAGTTTGCGTTGGGTAACGTCTGAAAATCCCCAGGCTCTGTTTTGCCATCTTTTCAATTTGTCACAGTCGGCATTCCACCATAGTTTAGGACGATGAGGTAGGTGAGGCGAGGTCATGGGGATAGCTATTATTGCAGCATGAAGAATGTGGCTACTAAGCAGACTGGTGATTTGATTGGCAGACAGATTGTCAAATGATGTGCAAGCGAGCTGAGTAGCCTCACTAAAAGTACCCCAGTTTGCCTCTTCGAACTTCCAACAGGGTGTTCGTGTGGATAGTGTAGCGGATGGATTGATACGGTTTAAAATTAGGGGAAAATGGTCGCTTCCAGTTGGGATCAACAGCCCATTAGAAAAGGAGGAATAATGTTATGTTACTTAGTGACAGATCAATGGACGTGGACGAACGAGTTGGAACGCTGAAATATGTAGGCTCTAGTTTGTTTAACAGGCATAAAGCAGTAGAAGAAAGAAAACACTTAACCATCGAGCCACGTGAGTCACGTAGTCTACTACCCCACATAGGGTTATGAGCATTGAAATCTACTAGGACTGGAGCTGGTTGGGGCAGTTCGTCATAGAGAGACTCTAGCTTTCTGCGATATAAGGTGTAGCTTAGAGGAATATACACAGAACAAACAGTTATCAGTCGATCAGGAAAGATGCGAACTGCCACAGCATGTAATGTGGTATTAAGTGGTACCCCGACTCAAAGAGTAGAATTTGCAACAATTATAGCTACGCCACGAAAGGTGTGGGATGAATGGAGACGGTCCTAACGACTCCAGGTGAACGCTGAAAGAACGAAGGAGTGCGAGATCTGTTAAATTGTTTTGAGTGTTCTTGTAAAAAAAACTTGCCTCCTCCAAGTTGTAATATTGTACAGCCGAAGGCTCTGGTTAAATCTCAAACTTTGTTGTCCATGCAGCATTTATGCTTTCTAGCACAGGTGACATAAACAAGCTCAGCAGGCTTGCAAAGACGGTGTGACCGGAAGTCGCTTGGGACGTAACCAGCAGTTCATATTTGTGATCAGCAAAATGGTCTATACTAAATTTTTTACGAAAGAAAAGTGAATGAACTCTACCAAAACGTTTTATATATGAAATACTTCGTACGTTGCCGTTCCCGCTGCAGCTTATGCAACTGCAATCTTCACCGGAAACGCATGCGTGGACCGCTGCATGCTTAGCATCTATCACGTGGTTATGAAACTTGTTTTGCTGTTTTGTTACTGTAGCAAGTCTCAAAACCACATGATAAGAGATAAGGCGCGCGCGAACGGTGATAAGGTGCGCGCGATGGTTTCCTGTCCACTATTCTGTCGACTACTGTTCTGTCCACGGACACGAAAAAACCCGCCCAGTGAGCCATACACAGCTTCGCTGTAAAAGTATTTTTAAATTTCTTCTAAACCTTTGTAAAGCCTGACTTATACAAGTGCTTAGAGATTTTATTCGGGGCGGGGGGGGGGGGGGGGGGGGGGAGGGGGGGGGCTCTGTATCCCTTACTACCCTTCTTTCATCATTCCTCTCCTTGAGCATGATTTCCGTCCCTGACCAACGACGGAACTCATACGCAAGTATAATTTCCGACTCGGCGGATATCTTGCGTATGATTTGCGCAGTTTCTACATTCGTGATCTTTGTTCGCGATTTTAAATGTCTTCGAAATTTTTCTTCCACTTTTTTATGTTAGTTTAATCTGTTATTGATGCATTTTGGTGTGTCCCACTTACATAAATTCACACTCAAATGGTATTTCATACGCAACACCATTCACGCAACGTACCGATTTGCCCAGATGGGCTTCTTTGCACTCACGTTTTTTTTAAATGGCGGCATTAACTTAACCTGAAATCCATGAAAGCCGATTACAACTCCCTGTAACACCGAAGCTCTTGAGGAGGAGGGAAGGGTACTGAGGTGATTGTATACCCCTCCTCCCTCGTGATCCTGCCTGCTACTCCTCCTCCCCTCATCCTCCACCCCCTCCTTCTCCTTCACCTCGTCCTCATCCTTCAACCTCCTCCCCTCGCCTCCTCCTCCTCTCTCCACCCCCTCCACCTCCCTCCTACTGCTGGGGGGTCACGTGACCTAACGGGGGGACGCGTGACCTGGGGGGTCACGTGACCTGGGGGGGGGGGGGGTCACGTGATCTTACGGTTACGCCGACGGCGACGCCGGCGCCGACCAAGCCGGAAACGGGCGCGTAAGAGCTGCGCTCTAAAACCGTGTCGACTGCAAGCTTCCGTGCCCGCCCTCCGGTTGTGGCAAATATCATGAAAACGCTATATAAAAAGGAGCACTAAATAAACGAGATAGGCTGAATCTGGGACGACGTCATGTCTATTAAAGAGGTGGCGCTAAGGAGCTCGTGTCACGCCGGCCTTGATGGCGTGACAGGAAAGCCGGCGTCGTTGGCATTCCGCGAAAATAATGATTGGCAGACAGGGTCGTGATATCACGGCCACATGACCTCGCGCGGGAATTTAAAGGAACCCACACGCTCACATGAAACGTAACGTCAGGCGGGCATTGAAATTTATTACAAAACATGACATGTAATGCGAATTTAAGGTCGCCGCATGTCTCAAAGGATTTCACTCTATTAAGTAATCAATTAGCTTTAAAGAAAAATTTTCTGAATTTCAGACGGGATTCAGTCTACGAATTTCGGTTGCAAGCCAGACAGGCTACTAACTAGGCCACGCAAGTCACTCTTGCACGGGGTGAGCAATACCGGGAGTATACGGTGTGTCACGAAAGGTGGACAAATTCGATATTGCAAACACTACGCCCATCGTACAAAAACAAAACAAAAAAAAATGATTGTGTTATGTTAGTCCTCATTCAAGGGCCTATTTTGGGGAAATTTTATCAAAGTTGGAGATAATTAGGTTGTTATTTATTTTCGCGTAATTCTTTTTTTTAATATTGAGTTTAAGCGCATTGTTTTATTTGGAGACTTGCTGAGCATCATCGAAAAACCCTAAATAAAACGTGGAGTGCGATACAAGGCACACGCTGCATTTTACAGCTTTCTGGAAAACCGCAGAACTTCGACGGATTTTGTAAGTTTCGGTTTTCAATCGGGGCGCTTCTTGGCATCGACGGTACCGCGCCCCTTTAGAAGGCAAAACTTGAGCATCCTCCAATTTTTTTTTGTGTGTGTGTTTCTTTTACGTTTTCAAATTTCTCTTGTTTCCCGGTCTGAGATTAAATCAACATGGTGAATATTGTCGCGTGCAAATAGCTGAGTCAGCAACGTGCTCCGCTGGCTGATGTTTATACCCCGCCAGCGCTTGTCCTTTTTACGTTTCCCTTTTTTGAATGACTGGAATGTTCCAGACGATTCGGAAATCTAGTTTGTTCGAGCTCAGAATCTTCTAGATACCCACGCGCATACAAAAGGGCCTTCGCGTGGCTGCTTGAGGTAGTCGTCCTTTCGTCGCCGTTAAAGCCTTTATTAAACTTTATGTTTAGCGGCACAAGTTCGCCGCATTAAACGTTAATTTTAAGTTTTATTAGTCAAATTTATGACTTTATTTTTGATGATGTTCACCAGCTCGCCTTCACCCTAACTATATGTTATATTGTATTCTTTACTTTATTACTGAAATAAAAAAAAAATATGCTGGGACGTGTCCGGCTGCATATTTCTGTGTCATAAGTAAGAACCAATATTTTCACTTCAGATTATCCTGTTGGCATTTGAGTAATCAATACCAAATGGTCGAGATGAAATCCTAATAAAACATTAAAAATTACATTAATAATTCAGACGGCAACCCGTTTTCTTATGACTAACGAATAGCGGAGAGGTCAGTTGAAATCATGGTACAAAAATCCGTAAAACTCGCATTGACATAACTGAGGAGGTATAGTTCTGATCACAAGAACGAATTCTGTTTAATTTATAGTTTTAGTGTCTTTTGTAAAATGGTCTATACACTTTAAACAAACGATTAACCAATTAACTCACCGTGATGACTCTGTGAGCCTCATCTTTTTCTATGGCCAAGGAATGCACAAAAGCGACGTTGATCTGGTGTAGTGTTTCACCCTTTAGGTCTTTGAAAAAATAGGTTGTCCCACCAGTCAGAGCGCTTAACATTTCTAGCCGATCGTCTGCTTCAGATCCCAATGCCATTGAGTCCACAACGACATTAGACGCGGTCAGGTTCTTCATCATTGTGTTAAGATATGGTGGTCCTTCATTTTCCTTGCCGTCGGTGAGCAGCACTATTCGAGATCCTGCGACACGATCTTTCTCTTGAAGCATCTGGCATAAAGAGAGCATCCAAATATTAGGCTAGCTAACTTATTTTATACGACAATTTTCTTTGAAATGTCGTCAAATATCAATATATTTTATGGTAAAGATAAAAATAGGCAATATTCTAAGGTAGATGAAAGTGTAGTTTTTTACAACCTGGAATACACAAAATGAAACTTATGGCGCTAAAACGAAATGCAGATCAAAATACCACCAAACAAAGAGAAAGTGCAAATACCTTTGCGAATCCAACAATTTCACACGTATGCTCCCAGTCGAGGAACTCATCGCTCCTACTTTTGTATATCCTTCCTGCACTCTGCTCTCGCAGTGCGCTGAGTGCTCTGACCCCGTCTGCCAAAAATATGCTTTACAAATAGTTTTAGAAGTGTTTTGTTAGGGTATAAAAACTTTAAAGTTTTAGTTTTAGTTATGCAAGAAGAGAGGAAGGAGGGAACAAAAAGGCAGCAAAAGAGCTGCTTGAGAGTGCCTCCCCTTCTCTCAACAGCAACACCGTAGGAAGCTCTAAAAAATAAAAACAAAGCTCCCAAGAAAACATAATAGTTAATAAAATACATTTACAATTTCGGCGTATTTGGTCGATGTCTCCTCAACGGAGATAACATCTAATTTTATCAAAATCGGCTCCTTTCTTTTTCGTTTTGACCAAAGTTACCAGCTATAATACCTATATGAAAAATGTAGTCACTTTAAATCTTCAAAATTGTATGGTGTATCTTGTTGAAACGCTGATAATTCTAAGCTGTAATGTGCCAGCTAAGGAAATATCAAAACACTAACGCGAGGAAATTGCAGATAATTTATTGTAGATCATCCTGTTACCTCAAATTGTGGATTTTTAATCATCTTACCTGAACAAAGTACAATGATTCTGTAGTACCTAGCGTGCATCAAAAGTTGTTCTCTTTCAAAGGGGCATTAAAACGTTCTACACCTTATGTATGTTTTTCTCCAGTACTAGTAAACGTTTAAAACAGGCGGTAATATTGGGGATTTTCTTAGTAACACCAACTGTGTTTGCCGCTATACCGTTAATTTTTTTTCTACTAATCTAATAGTACTAATAGTGCCAAATAGGGCTGGGCACTTGAACGATTAAGCTGCTAATTATTCGATCAATTTTTGAACCCGGTAATTCTTTCAATTTTGACAAACAAGTAAAAGTAAAAACTCAAGGCTTTCACCACCCAGACGTGGATGAGTACACCTGTATAAGGGCAAACATTAGGTGAAATATTGATCTAAAGTGAACTGTAGAGACCAGATTTATAACTCCAAACCAGTCGAGAAGGTTAGACGTGTTCCAGCCAATTCAACGCCGTGTGAATCGGCGTCTAGGGCGACAGAGACTTTTCGCGACTCCAGCTGTCTATAGGTGGCGCCACTCGTTTTCCCCAATGGTGGTCATAGTGAGGGTCGGAGATGCGTGCTGGTATTGCCATCCGCGATGGCAAGCAAGCGATCGCGTAACCGAGTGGTCGTGTTTCGGCTGCCGAGCAGTGCGGACGCACGGATGGCGAGCTCCGATCGAGCGACGATAACGGTCGTTGCCGGCCGTGGTGACAGGGCGTTTTGTATCCCCGCTGATTACCGGATTCTGTTGCCGACGTTGCCGGCGGGCGATAAAACGAAGAACCAAGTTTATCTTCACTGCGGCGTAAATGCCAGGCCGCTTCGAATTGGAGACTTCAAGGAACCGTTGGAAAAGGTCGACATGCTCAAAGAAGTTGCAGGGCTCGGCGTATGCCAGATGGGACACGTGTGGCTGTGCAGCCTGAAGAGTGCGGCGGCGAAAGAGCGGCTTCTCAAGCTGGGCTGGCTTACCGTCAAAGGTAAACTGTGCATTCCCGTGGACCCCAACAGGCAGGAAGTGCGGGTCAAGCTGCATTGGGTACCTTTCGACGTCCCCAACGACGTTCTCCGAAGAGCCTTGGAAGAGTACGGGACTGTCAACGAGGTGAGCAAGGAAAACTGGCGTGTGGATGGCTTCGAGGATATCGAGTCCACCACAAGGATTGCCAAATTCACGCTGAAGGAGGGAATGACGCCGGACAAGTTGCCTCACCAGCTGAAGCTTAACGGGGGCACGATCCTTGTTGTCGTCCCTGGACGAGCGCCGGTTTGTCTGCGGTGCAGCAGGGCAGGACACATACGACGTGACTGCCGTGTGCCCCGGTGCGGCCAGTGCCGAGGCTTCGGCCACGTGTCCCAGGAGTGCGTGCGCTCGTATGCTAGCGCAGTAGTTAATCGAGCCACCAATGAAGATGACGAAATCATCATGGACGAAACAGAAACAGAGGAGGCGGCGACGCTGCCTTCGAGCCTACCGGAGACAACGGAGCAAGCTACGACAGGTGATACAACTAACGGTACCAACGCAGCAGAGGTGACGGCCAAGGCCTCGACGCCCGACGCTGAGGAACCTGGAAAGGAGACGCAGGCGACGACGGCGGGAGGCACAGACGCCGTGGACAAGGGTGACGTGAACGAGCCACTAATGGAACTGGACCTTGCGAATGTGAAGCGGCGACTGGATGATGAGACCAAGGACAACGAGGCACAGGAGCTACATCGCCCACAAGGCAGGTGGAAACAAATCGGAAAGAAAGGTCGTTACGCCACCAAGCTGCGGTCCTCGTCGCTGACCCGCGATGGGGAACTGTCACAGAGACCCTCTCCGCCATGAGCCGAGCTCTGCAGGAGCCAAGCGACAGGTAAGCACCAGGAGGTTGGTCTGTCGACACTAAAAACAAAAACAAAAACAAAACAAAAAATGGTAGGGCTCACGTCCGGGCTCCGTATTGGAACTCTGAACGTTAGGGGCTTAGCGGCACGTCGCCGCCAGTGTCAACTTAGTCGCCTACTCACGGAGAACGACCTGGACGTACTTGCTGTCCAAGAAACAAAAGTTGAGTGTACGAGTCAGACCGACCTCATGGTGCGACCGTTTATGTCGAGGTACAATGTATGTGTGAGCCACTCTGTCGGTAGGTCAGGCGGCTGTTGCCTGTTTTTGAAGAAAGCATCAGGAATCATGGAGGAAAATGTTATTGCATGCGCGTCGGGTCGTTTTGTTATTTGTGACTTTTCTTTCTCCAATTTAAAGTGGAGGGTTGTATGCATTTACGCCCCCAATGTGGAAAGGGAGCGATGCACTTTCTTTGAAAATATTTCCATTTACCTCCAGAGTGATAGAATCATGGTATTATTAGGAGATTTTAATTGCATCTGTTCACCTGAAGACCGATCAAACCGACCACACAACAGAGATAAATCCGGGGAGCAGCTAAATAATTTGGTTAAAGATTTCGAACTTGAAGACGTAGCGCAATGTACGTCAACCGGTAATCGTGTGATCTACACGCACCACCAAGGTAGCAGTCATGCGAGGCTGGACAGAGCGTATGCTTCGGTCGACATTGTGCCCGAATGTGGTAGTTATGCAGTCAGTTACGCGTCTTTCAGTGACCACAGCCTAGTGACTTTCACAGTGGGTCATTGCAAGAACCGCTCTAGCTTCTCCTGGGAGTTATGGAAGCTAAACGCTAAGCTCTTGGACGATAAGCAATTTACTGAAAAGGTTCAAAGTAGGCTGGAGCAAACAAGCAGTGTAACTGGTAATGAAGTCTGCAGAGAGCGGGAATTATTTAAACAACAAGTGAAGCTTGATGCGATAGAGAGGACATGTCAAATTAAGCGTGAAGAGCGAAAAGTAGAAAACAGTCTTCGCGCGGATTTACAGAGGCTGCACGTGGAGGAAGGAAGGACACCCGGAATCTTCAAAGATGATATAAGCAGCATAAAAGCGCAACTTGAACAAATTGACGAAGAGCGATATAAGGGGGCGATTGTTCGTGCCCGAGCAGAGAGGTTGCTTTTGGGGGAAGCGCCCACCAAACGGGCACTTGTCCTTGAAAAGAAGTATGCTAGCGGAAACCAGATAGCGGAAATAGAGTACGAAGGCACAATGACTAGCGATCCGGCCCTTATCCACCGTGCATTCGTTTAATACTACGAAACATTGTTCGACAAAAAAAAAATACCAAAAAAGACGGGTCTCGACACAGAATTCCTGCCAAGTCTTCCACGGTTAGACCATGATGACGAGCAAGTTTTGGGAGAACCAGCCAGCGTAACAGAGATCGAGAAAGCGATAGATGAACTAAGCGCAGGCAAATCGCCGGGCCCGGATGGATTGAGCGCTGCATTTTACAAGAAATTCAAACCAGAAATAGCGCCGTTGTTGCATCGGGTTTTTAATGAGTCTTATCGGAATCATAGGTTACCGGGCTCCTTTTTGTGTACGCATACAGTATTGATACCGAAAGGTAACGACGCCTCTAAGCTACGCTTCCCTAGCAACTATAGACCGATCACCCTTGCTAATGTTGATTATAAAGTTCTCATGAAGGTGTTAGCGAGGAGGTTGCAGAGTGTAATTTGGAAAATTGTAGGACCTCACCAAACCTGCGGAATTAAAGACCGGAGTATTTGTACGAATATCCACACAGCTAGGAGTGTGCTGGAGTGTTGTGATGCTGAGTATCGGACAATCGCACTGCTCCAAATCGATTTGGAAAAAGCCTTTGATCGTGTATGTCATGACGTACTTTTTCAAATTTTAGAGCACGTAGGAATCGGGTCTCTCATTCTCGAAGGAGTAAAAATGGCTTATTTAAACTGTTCACAACAAAATTAATAATTAACAGGGAAGTCACTAAGCGGATAAACGTTCTTTCTTCAGTACGGCAGGGGTGTCCTTTATCCCCGTTACTTTTCGCGATTTTTTTGGAACCTTTCTGCCGCTACATCATTCAATGTAAGGACATTAGGGGTTTCACTTTGCACGAGTGCGAAGTAAAAATTTTAGCATATGCAGACGATATAGCTGTTTTTTGTTCAGACTCTAGAAGCGTCACAAGGGCTGTGGAAGCGACTAAGCGGTTTTGTGACGTCACAGCATGTGCGGTCAACTGGTCGAAGTG